CGAAAAAACAGGACAGTTAATTTCCCCTCTTCCCCATGTGGGGCACCCGATATCCAATCGCACGGCCTTGAAATGCCAGGATTTTCTCAGGCTGCCAACTTCTCCCATACATTCCTTGCCTCCTTCCCAGCTCCCAATATATTCCAAGCTTTCCCCCCTCCTCCCTCCCTACGTTTCTGTTGCCAAGTTGAGGGCAGAGGTGCATTGCGATCAGCCTTGACGGCACCCCTGCTGGCGTGGTGTTGTTGTCTTGTAATTGTGGGGAAGGGGGGATTCTGACTCAGCTCTTTCCTTCGGCGCGGTCTGCCTCCCACAGGATCAGGCCCTGTTGAGCAAAGCCATCCAGTACCTCACCACCTCGAACAAAGAAGGGAAGGACCTGGAACCAGAGGTCTTTCAAAGGCTGGTCATCACCGCCCGCTCCATCGCCATCATGCGGCCGAATAACCTGGTCCATTTCACGGAGTCGAAATTTCCCTCTCTGGAAACAGGTAGGGCGAAACCTGTTCAGAGTATTGCAGTGTAAATTCAGCGCCAGAAAAGTAAACACAGTTGGCTGGGGCTTCATTTAACTTCTTTATAAACACATAAAGTAAATTTCACAATACCAGTTGTAGATTTCTCCAACGTGGAGCGAACTCAAACAGAAGCAGACACGTTACAGGTCCGACAGCAACTCAGGAGCTCAGGAACAGGCCTCAGTTTCACTTTAGTTCAGCAGGCAAGCAAGCTGTTTCACTCTAGAGCTGAGCACAGGACAGAGATTAACATAGCTGCAGAGCTTAATATAGCGATAATATAGATTTCAGTTTCCAAACAGTCCTCATTGGCTGACTTAGTTGCTATGCCTATTCGTTGGCTGACCTGGTGACCCTGCTCTTATTCCAGTTCATGGCTATACTCTTGACAGAAGTTCCTTCTTTGCCTTGTACACAAATCCCCACACAGCCAGCTCTTTTTTTTCCCCCTCCGGTGTTATTTTTCTTCCTGTGCCGTTGTTTCATTTCTTTTGAGGGCAGGGGGCGAGGTGGGGTGGAGGGGCTTCCAACCAGCAAAAAAAAAAAAGCCTTCCTTGAAACTTCCAGAAAGCCTCGAAGAAGGGCAGGAGGCTGCGAAGGCCACCGTGGAAGGAGAAGGGTGCAGTTTTATTACCCAGCTGGTCAACCATTTCTGGAAACTTCACGCCTCCAAACCCAAGAACGCCTTCCTGGCGCCTGCTTGCTTGCCAGGTGGGTCCCGTCTTCCTCAAGCGGGGATCAGACTTGGCTGCCAGGGCGGGAGCTGTGCGGAGCGTTCCATGCCAGGCACACGGCCTCTTGCCAGGCTTCCTGCCCAAAATATTTGGCCAGCTGAACCGTTCATGCTGCCTTCTGTCTCTGGACCCCGTAATGGACCCTCTCCCCCCAGCCCCTCCCCCTCCTCCCTTCCTCCCCTCCTTCCCCTCCCTTTTTCTTCTCCCCCCCCCCTTTTCTTCCTTCCTTCCTTTCTTTTTCTCTCTCCCTCTCTTTCTTTCTCTCCCTCCCTTCCTCCCTATTACTTCCTGTTTTTCTCCCTCCCTCTTTTTTCTTTCTTTCCCTTTCTCTCTTTCTCTCCCCCCTCTTTCTTTCTAGCCCCTTTTCTGTCTTCCTTCCTTCCTTCCTGTCATTCTTTCACTCTCTCTCTTTCTCTATCCCTCTATTTCTCTCCCTCCCTCCCTCCCTATTCTTTTCTTCCTCTCTCCCTCCCTCTTTCTCTCTGCCCCTCCCACCTTCCTTCCTTCCTTTCTGTCTTTTCTTCCTTTCTTTCTCTTTCTCTCTCCCTCTCTTTCTCTCCCTCCCTTCCTCCCTATTACTTCCTGTCTCCCTCTTTTTCTCCCTCCCTCTTTTTTCTTTCTTTCCCTTTCTCTCTTTCTCTCCCCCCCTCTTTCTTTCTATCCCCTTTCCTTCCTTCCTTCCTTCCTTCCTTCCTTCCTTCCTTCCTTCCTTCCTTCCTTCCTC